TTGGAAAGGACCATCCTGCAGAAAAAAATCAAAAGGCTCCTTACTTATAGGAAAGCACTTTCCTAAATTTCCTCCCAGGCTCTCCCATCTTTCTGTCCCTTCATAGCTGAGAGGTAAATTCTTTGGTCATGGCAAAGATAAACATTTTCTCAGCAGCACGTCTGGGAAGAAACCTTCAAAATCACTTCCACGAGCTTCTCCTCTGCAAGCTGGAGAGGCAGATCCAAGAGCAAACCACTCCTATCATACAGGAAAAAGAAGAATGAGAAGATATTGCTTGACTGAATGCCCAGAAATGCTTCAGTTATTAGAATAATATGTCTTGTGCTGGTCTCCCCAACCAGCAAGGGCTGTTATAAACTCACAGGTCATTCGCCAGTGGTTCCTGGTGTTATTTGGTTGAGGTTCTGCTTCCATGGCTGTGCGTGGCAGCAGCATCAGGAGGGCTCTCCCGCCTCCCTGCAAACTTAATTGCAAACTGTGTGAGGAGATGAGATTAGAGCTTCTCTCAGAAGGGTTTACAGGCAAACATGTACGACAGCAGGTTACAACTCTGATTAAAATCATTATGAGACATTAATGAAGGAAGTGCTAAATGCACAGAACCGGTTTAATCCCTCCCGCAGCGCCAGGGAGGCTGGAACGATAGCAGCACCGCAACCTCTCAATTAGGCACCAGATGAAAGGGACTGGGTGCATATCAGGCTGCTTCAGGGATTTAGGGCGGTTTTGCAAACAGCAAGAAAAAAAAAAAAAAAGAGTTTCGTCACTGGAAAAAATTAAAAGCAGATCGGGGCTGGTTGGTGACTTCACCCGCACTGCGTGTCCCAGCCCATCTGCAGTGCAGTATAAAAGATGCTGCAGCGCCGATATGCTCACCCTGGTCCTTGCCATCAGGTAAGCTGGATCCTATATTCTCTCTTTCTAAGAAGCAAAATGCCTCTGCGTTGTAATTTTCAGCTTAGGGTTTCATTCTTCGCCATTCTGCTGAGCCTTTAGAAATCTTTCCTTTTCTCTCTCTTTTTTTCTTCAAATCTGCTTGCAAGCTCTGTTATTGTCAGCCTCTGAAAACAGGGTTTGAGGCATTTAGTCCTCCGTAATTCAAATTTGAGCATGCCAGTTCTGCCAGCGGCTTTAAAATGCAGATTGACCCTGTACCGTTTCAGTGAATGACTCGCTTGGAGAAGCACGGCTAGATCCTAGGCTGTGTTTAATGACGCACAGGAGGAATTCTATTACCTGCATGGCTATTTTATTGCAAGGCAATTCCAGCTGTAATTTGTTTTTTATAGATAGGCTAAGAACTAACATTACTAACAAAACAATATTTCCTGATTTTTACCAGAAGTGCTGCTGAGCCACAAGCTTTAGTGATCAAAGCTGAAGCTGGGAAAAGAGTTTGCAAGCTGAATTATTATCTGGTGCAAAAAGGCAGCTCCTTGCTTTTTCTCCATTTGCTCCATACTCTATACGAATTTGTGTCATTATACTGGGAAATATCTGTTCCAGGGTCACGGCTGCAGCAACCCCGCTACGGCACCGCTCCCAACCGCGGCTCCGGCACCGCATCCTGGAGCTTCCGAGGAGGCTGCAGCCCTGTCCGAGGGCAGCACAAAGCTGCAGAAGGGCTTTACCGAACGATCACTGCTGCAGAGCTGCAGGACGGCAGCGCTCTTCCTCCTCCTCCTCGCTGCTCCCAGCCTTTGCTTCTGATCCTTCTGGTTTCTAGTTTTTTTGCTCCTGCTCTCTTTCCTGCCATGGAGCAGACTCTTCAACATGCAGGACATGGGAACAACATTTATCTTCATCGACAACTTTGCCACAGGCAGAAAAAACTCACCAGGGAAAAGCAGCACCTCTGAGCAGAACATACATTGAGAGGTCTCTGAAACTGTCTGGAAACAGCCTTTTTTCTTTTTTTTTTTTCTTTTTTCTTTTTTTTCCTGTGAGACCTCACTTTGCAAATAGAAGCATTTCTTTGTATTTTTTTTTTCTTTTGTTATTTCATGGTATCTTATATTTATATATAGTATATATATTTTCCAAAGTTTTATTTTTTTAAGTGAGATAAACCGGAACATTTTCATGGACTTTTGCTTATACTAGCTGTGAGGCTGTACAACACACAGCAAGTAATGTATAGGACATAAGGAATTCCCCACAGACTGCACCAAGAGACATTTCAGGAGATAATAATAGATCCCAAGCATGGTTATTATAGAACTTGTTCCCTAAGTAAATAGGGAATATGAATAAATAAATAAAAGGTTTCCCTTGGGTTTCACTGCTAGAGCATCCTATTTAAAACATGCAGTATTAAAATTCTGATCCCGTGGCTGCAGGATCGACTGCAAACAGGCACCATGTGAATTCCTCCCTATTCCAATCCTGGAGGAGGCTGCAGGGCGCATCCCTGGTGCAGTGATGCCAGGTCACGGTGCCTGCCAGCTGCTTGCCAGCAGTGTGAGGTTGAAGCACCTGCATGAGCACTGGGCTCCATAAAGCCACCAAGGACACGGTGGAGCCGTTCATTAGAGTCACACACAAGGATCCTGCCCCCAGGTGCCAACACTGAAGCACAACAGGCTGCGTGGGGGGACGGATTCTCTGCTTACAACGTCCTCATGAATCAGCTTGTGATTGCATCTCCAGACCGAGGAGGGTGCAGTGAACTCCATGGCCCAACCTCACATAGTGATCTCATCTCACACGTGGTTTCCTCCTGTTCTCAGGCATTAGGTGTCTCACCCACATTGCTGCAAGGCTGGATGCGATTCACAGTTTCTTCTGGCAGGGCCAAGAGGAGGGAAAGGAGATGGGGTTGCTGGCACTTACTGCTGACAGCCTGGACTTCCCTGGCCTCCCTTGAGAGAAACCTTGCAGCCGTAGGTGGTCCCAGCACTGCTGGAGCTGGAGGACCAGGACCCCAGCACTGATGGGGCTCCGCTGCAGCCCGTGTTCCTCACACACATCAGTGAAATTAGCTCCCATCTCTTCGATTGCCTTTATCTGTGACTCCACACACAGGTGTCTGCAACCCAAGTTCAGGGCAGCCACCTGGGAAGTGACAGGTGATTGTCAGAAACCCTCTGAGAACAAGAGGAGGCAGCTAAAGGGCCCATCTTCCATTTTCTCCTGTATTTGATTGCAAGATGCAAATTCAAGCTGGCCCAGGAGAATCAGCAATGCAAATTTTGCACTTTCTTCCATCCTCGTAACAGGTCATTTTAGCAAATAACAGGGTGGAAGAGCACACCTCTTCCAGCTCTACTCAAAGCCACCAGAGTCCATTATACAATTAGCACACACTCTATTTATGGTCCAGGTTTAACCTCTGGCTCCCACATGTGTCGTGCTGTGGCATCACAAGGACATGGGCAGAGCAGCTTCACCCAGGTCTGCTGAGAGCATTTGCAAACCCTTTCCCCAAATCTCTAAAAGGAAAGAAAAAATAATATATACATATATATATAAAACAAAGAAAACCCTGCATGCATCCTTTGAAGTGACCAATACCATAGAGTTATGGCTGGAAAATACCTGATATTATTGCTCTGGTCTGCATAGCCATGCTAAAGAATACTTCCCCTTGCACAGCATCCGAGCAGCTACAGGGATAACCATACAGAGGACTGGAGATAGAAGAAAGGTAGATGCAAACAACATCTTTAAATATATTCTGACAAAAAAAAAAAAAAAAAAAAAAAA